AAATAATAAAAACTAACAAACAAAGAAAAAACACATAAGGAAGACGTACACATTTCCAATATATAATCTAGAGATCATGAGATGACCTGTTAATTGTCACCAGCAAACAATTACAAATAACAATCTTTTACTGATATCATTGGGTGTCCATATTCATGGCTAAGGGGAATAATCATTTGTCTGATAAGGTCTTGTGTTGGAAGGGTGTGACCATCTAAGCAGCACTGTATTTTTATGTGCGTAAATATTCTAAGCTCTGTGTTTGTCTTGACTTACTTCATGTGGTGAAATTTCGTTTAGCATTTTAGAAAAATAAAGATTTGTGATAACAAATCTGAGAGGTCTTCTAGAGATGACCCTCCTCTACACATGTATGGAAAGTGAATTTAAATATGAAACCATTTGACAATAGCAAAAAAACATTTCCTTGGCAAGACAATGACGCAAAACTAAAAACTGTGTATCTGCGTAAAATTTGGTGGAGATCAATATCATAGAAATGCATAGAATATGCTTAAGTAATGTAATTAAAAATGAAATCAATAAAATTGTGTTCAAATGATTGTATTTGGAATAAAGAATAAAACAACGACCCGGCCTCAGAAAATGTTTGGTTTCTATAATTAGCTTGATAAATTTTTCGGAACTAGAAATTCTACGTTTAAGTTAGAAATTGGTAATTATACCATGGGTCATATGGCCAGAGAGGGTATATATCATTTGATACGGCCAAAACGTGCCTCATCGAAATAACGGTTTTAGACCCTAGGTCTCTTTGTACAAAATCTGTTTCAGGACATGCGATGTCAGTCCGTCCGTCCGATATCGGTCCACTCATTCTGGTACCTCCCACACAAAATGTCTACATTTTAAGAGAAAATAATTTACTGCACAGAAAGAGAAACGATAATGCAATTTAGCTTCAATTTTCAAATCCTTATATTTGAATCAGTGCTAGGTGAGGTGAGAAAATGGACAATATTGGTCGACTCCATCAAGTACCTCTCCCACAAAGGGTCAAAATTTTGTATAATTATAACTCTTATAAAATGTGATGTAAGAGTCCGATTGCCTTTAAATTACACAAATCACAATATTTTTATAAATCCAAGGTCTGGTGTGAAGATGACATGTATCCGTCCACTCCTTCTGTTACATCCCCTACAAAGGCTCAAAAGTTTGAATATTCATGAAGCTCATAAAACACGAAATTAACATGCGATTCCATTCTGACTTTGGCACATCTCAATATTTCCATCAATACAAGATCTGTTGTAAAGATGGTAGAGATCGCAACATTTCTTCTGGTAGCTTCCCCACAAATAGTCAAAATATTGGATCATAAGATCCGTAAAAAGCATCCGGTTCCCCTCAAATTACACACGTCACAATATTTTTATTTACCCAAGGTCTGGTGTGAAGATGGGATACATCGGTCCTCTGCTTCTAGTACCTCCCCCACAAAAGGGTCAACATTTTGAGTACCCATGAAGCTCATAAAACGAGAATACAACGTCCGAATCCATTCAGAATTGGTACATCTCTATATTTCCATCAACACAAAATCTGTTATAAAGATGGTAGAAATCACACCATTTCTTCTGGTACCTCCCCCACATACGATTCAAGATTTTTGAAAAAACAAAACGATCAAAGAAAGGGGAATAAGCATCCAACTCTCTTCAAATTTCACACATCTAAATATTTTTGCTAACGCTGATATACATAAGCCAACCCCTTTTGGTACCTCATCCACAAAGGGTCTCGATTTTCAATACTTATATCTGTCATAACTTGCGAAACAAGTCGGTGATTCTTTACAACTTGCTATATCTAAATATTTCTCTTATCCCGAAATCTGATATGAATATGTAATTTATCGAAATTTATGATTTCGCACAAAATTGGATATAAATGTTTGATTTCCTTCAAATTTTGCACAGACCAATATTTTTTTCTGTATTGGATGAAAATGGAATAGTTCGGTCCGCTATATCTGTAACCTCACGCATATTTCCACAATCTAAAATGTGTACACATTTCATAAAAAGTATAGGAAGTAGTCGATGTAGTCCAAATCTGGTAAGATACGAATTGATAAATATAGGCCAACTGCTTTGAATAATCATAACTCAAGGCTGGGGGTAATTTTGAGGTACATATATTATATTTTGAAAATATGGTTTATATTGTTACTGAAGATATAGGAAAAATTAAATATGCTATTCCATTGAAAACAGAATGATGCATAAATTTATCCGAGACTCAAACCGCTATGAAATATAAGGACCAATTAAAAACCAAGACCGTTTCAATTTACTTGCAGTCTGACTTGTTAACTAAATTGATTATTTAAATAAAATTAATTAAAAGGTAATATTTTAAAATGTTGCAATTACCACAATGAACTATGCATACATTAACATGAAAGCAACAACAAACACATGAATGTTCATTTCAAGTCCTAACTCAAACGTGACAATATAAACGTAATCTAAGTATTTCATCACTTGGACTCACCTCAGCTCCCAATTCAACCAAAGTTTCAATAAGTACAGCAGTTTGAACCGTCATATGCAAACAGCCGGCAATACGAGCACCTTTCAAGATTTTGGAAGGACCGTACTTCTTGCGGCAAGCCATCAAACCGGGCATTTCATTTTCGGCAATAATAATAGCCTTGCGACCCCATTCGGCCAACTTAATATCAGCTGTTCATTAGCAACAGCATCGCATGCCGCCGAGTCAAGTGAAGATGAATCAGGTTGGTCAGCAACAATGGGACAGCAACGCACGGAAAAAAGGAAAACAAAGATTAGCAATGGCTACGAAACAAAAAAAAAAAACGTGTTCACATTTATCTCCTCCAATAACAGGAGATTAGATCACAATATATAAACCATAAAATAAAACAATTGCACATCACACACAAACACGTTTATTCACAACAAATTTCAACTTACCGACTTTATAGGTTGGCTTGGACATTTTGCGTTTTTTGTTAATTTTTGCGGTTTTATGGGAAAACAGAAGTGAAACACAAAATTAATGCCCTGTAAGAGAAATTAAAGGTTCAATTGCAATTAATTTCGCCACATAATTATAAATTTAATATATAATTATTAAATAATTGTATTAGAATAAGAACGCACGCGGTCGTACGATGGCTGCTGGCTGATAGCTACGATTGAAACACTTTGTCTAATTTTATGTTGCTTATATTTGGAATTGTGGGAATGGAACAGGGATGACACTACAATTTGACACTAAAAACAGTGAAGTTCATTCGGGGCACTTTGTACCATATCGAGTCTCAAGAAAAAAACAAAGATCGCTACCAAAGACGCTGTTTAATCAATCAATCAATCAATCATTTTTGGATCTTAGGCGTGGTATTATAATCTCTCATAAAGAGGAATGGTATTAAAGTTTATAAAAAAGTTAAAGATCCCTCAGTCATAATTTTATATTTAAAATTCACATATATTTGAATGTATATTTTTTTATAAAATTTTAAAAACTAAAGTACAATTTCACTGAAAAAGTACCTTTTACAAGTTTTGATTTTCCATCCCTGAAATGACTAGTTATTAGGGATACGTAAGTCGACTTTGCCATATGGCGAGTTTTCGTAATCGATTTTCAAGATCAAACATTTTTGGTACTCGTTTCATTTTCTTTACAAATAACATTCAAATTATGTCTTCCAATATTTGTCAGCAGGTCGAAAGGTGAGCTGCTTGGCATAATGACTAGGCATATTAATGTCAAATTATAATGGGGAACGACGGCAGAATTTGTATGCGGCTCTGGCATCCCTTTATGATATGTCACAAAATATGCCATGCAAGGACTTCAAGCGATTTATGTACTTACACCTTAAGTCAGCAATAACACAGGACGCATCGACATAGCTGGTGGTACAATAATAACGGTACCTCCCGATATTCAATATTTTTATAATTTTTGCCATACTGTTTTGCAGATTTGTCTAAAAATTTGTATTTGTGGGTCATAATGGGTTCTAGCTCCGGTGGAGAAACATTGTATGTATATAACCTGTACCTTCCGATATTCGGTATTTTGATGATTTCAGCGACAATATTCATCGGAATTCTTACAAATTTGGTATTTGAATCGTAATGAATGCTACAGCCTAACACAGAAAATTGCAGGTCCACGTCTTCGTATAGCCCCCATATATCGGTACCTCCCGATATTCGGTATTTTTATGATTTTAGCTACATTATTCACCGATTTTTTTTTAATTTCGCATTTGAGTATTGTAATGGCTTATGACAAAAGCTACCTATGCAGGTCCATGTCGTCGTATAGACCCTTAAATAACAGCTGCATTCGGTATTTTTAAGATTTTAACAGATTTTTAACGGATTTTATTGTTTTTGAGAATTGCCAAATTCGTTCCAAATGGCGGAGGGTATTCAATGTTCGACCTGGCCGAACTTACAACTTTTTACTTGTTTACTTATTTGAAAATGGAAAAAATAATATTTTAACCCAGGCTGAACAATGATACCAAATGTAAAAGATTACTTTGTTACATGGAAAAGTCAAATATGTAGATACGGAGACCGTGAATGCCAAACTGATTTTTTTAAAACGATTTTTGTATAAAAATTTAAAATTATGGTGGTGTGATTCGGTAAAAAAACAGATATTTTCTGTTGCATATGATTTCGAAATTTGTTTCATTCAGAAAATGAAAGGAAGCCGAAAAGAAAAATTTCTAAGAAAAAATATAGAAACAAGGCAAATATGACGAACAAAATAAAAGGATGTACAGGATGTTCCCCCCAAACCGTGCTTTGTTTAAATAGCTATTAGACATAAAATTGCATTTACAAAAAATAACTAAATTAAACAAATAAATAAGTAGATTAATAAATTGTGCAAAGAAGGATTGGTAATGCACATTTTCAAAGTCACTAGCATCGATATATGATTACACCAAAGCGTTGCTTCCCACAAAGGTTGGTAACACTTTAAACAGCTGTTCGTTTTCTACAGCCACAGCAAACGAAACTTGATTTCATGAATATTTAATACAATAAAGCAAATAATGTGGAAAGAAATAAAAATTGTGAATAAAACCTATTATATTAAATGTGATATCAGTGAAAATAATAACGTTACGCTGATCTTATACGATCAAAACGAGATATGGAGTGAGAAGATTTCTCTGGTCGATGTTAGACGCAAAGTGAAGGTAAACAATTTGTTGTGAAAATAAACAAAATTTTATTGGAACGGGAAGGACATGTGTGAAACGATTGAATCTGTGCTGTGCTGCCATAAAATTATTCTTGTTTTTGCTATTTTAGAACTTAAATCGTCGTTATGATTTTGACGAGGAGAATATACGAAAAACCTTTGGCGGTGAGGGAGAATTGGAAACGGCATCGTTGGATTCTGCTGAGGGCAACGATAAGCTGCTGTTGAAAGTAAAATATCGTGTAAAAGACTGTCCATTCCTTTATGAATGGAATTTAGAAAAACAAACATTGGAAGAGGTAAATATATAATTGTCGAATTGGAATAACAATTGTGTCTAATCTTCAGTTTCTTTCAGTTCCGAACTTTATTTGTAATGCCGATGCTAAAGGCATTGCTTGCTTGCAAAGAACAAATGGAAATATTGACAGATACTATTAGGAAAAAAGATGCAGAAATTCTACAATATCGTAAAGATGGTGCAATATTGGGACGAAGTAAGTTGCAAGCAATTACAGGCGGTTTTATAACACAATTTGCCTAGAAAGTGATGTTAGCATTACTGTACAATGAGAAATAAGATTATATGCCAGAGTAAGGCACTAAGTGTCTGAAATTGTAACGTATTTTTCCATGCATGTTTACTCACGCGGATTGTTTGTTTGGATAAACATGCTTATGTATGTATGTATACATAAAAACACACGCGTTCGTTAACATTGGTCCCGTTAACATAGGTCTTACATTAACAGAATCTATTCTGTAATGTTTACATCATGCCGTAGACTAACTGTGATGAGTTAAAAAAGGGACATTTTTCAAAGTATTTTTCATTGCTAAAGCCTTCTTTGGACAATAGAGTTACAATTAATTACCTTCTTATTTTTTGTATTCCAGGAACTTTGGCAACCAAACTCTTTGCCTTTGAAGAATTTGAACGAAAATATGAAGGACCCAACAAACTTTTAAACGATTTTAGTACTTTAGGACAAATTTTGGTCAAAGAAAAATCTCTATCAGAAAACTCCCCTCAAATCAGTGATGCGAACAAACAAGAAAAACAGGACATGGTCACAACTACGGTTAACAAAGCTCCTCCCATCAGTCCAGGACAAAAGTATTTTTTTTTTTGAAATTTCTTGAAAATGAAGTAATTATTGATGGTTCTCTTCTTTTTTTTTTGCAGAAAACGCTTATTAAAAAAGGAAATGTTAGAAAAGGCGATAAGACCACGGAAACCAGTTTTCGAATATGAGAACAGTCAAAGTCAATCAAGTGAAGAAGTGGATACGGAAAAGAATATTACTGAAAATGCAAAATCAAGTGGAGAAAACTCGGAAAATAAAACCAGTTCAAAAACTTTGGAGCCCAGCCCAGTTGCAAAGTAAATATAAAGTTTTTTTTACGCTTGAGCTCAAAATTTAAAGCTATAATTGGCTTGTCTCTAGATAATGCTGTTTATTGGTATTTCAAAGCATTTTTATTAACAAAGGCATTTAATTTTTTATTTAGATCTAGGTCTAGAGAACTCAAAAATCTAGTAAGCAACTTGGTAATAGCGGAAAATCCTGAAAATCTTATCACCGAAAATAAAACAAGAGCAAAGCCATCAATATCCAGTCCAGATCTAAAGTAAATAGAACATAAAAATAATATGCATGCAGAAATACTAAGTTTTGTTTTCTCTAACCCATTTCAGAAGTAAAGAAATCAAAAGCCGATTTAACGATACAGTTGGAAGTCGTGATAAGGTAACAGAAGATAAAAATAAAACGCCAGCCAAAACAGTGGAATCTTCTATACATGTTCCAAAGTAAATCAAATGTTATATATTTACATATAATAATACATATAATAATATATATCTATTAACTAGATCTAGAGAACTTAAAAATCTCGTAAGTGACTTGGTAATTGCCGAAAGTCCTATTCGGGGAAAAACAACTGAAAGTAAAACTAAATCGACACTCGCCGAAAATAGTCCACATTCAAAGTAAGCATATTTAAAATATTAATATCTGCAAAGGTTTTATGTTTAACGAATTCCTTGTGTTTTTAGATGTAAAGATCTCCGAAGACGTGTAACAGATTCAGTTAATTCTGAAAATTCGGAAATGATAAGAGCTCGTAGATCTTTGAACAAAAACGAAGTGGAGAAAAACTCGATGGATAACGAGAGCCCAAGGAAAAGGTATGTTTTTACAAAAAATTATGAATAAAAAATAGTTCCGAGCAATTTTATTTATTTATTCACAATTTGTTTTCTGTTTTTGTTTTTTACCCTTGAAGACGAAAGAGTATTACTGATGTGGAAGCAAAATCATCATCAAAGAAAGTTCAACAATCTAAAGAGAGTATACAAAACAATTCTCAACCAATCAGTAAACGGCGAACATCTCGTTGTTTAAATTTTTCCGAAAATCGAGACAAAAAAGATGAGAAAAGTAAAACGGAGAGTGAGATTTCAATAATGGAAACAGCATCACGACGAAAGCAGTCTTTACCATTATCAAAGCAATCCGAAGATGATGAAGAGTCAGCAAATGACCTGAAAATGGATAATAAAAACAACAATGAAAATAAATCAAATAAAACTAATGAAAAATGTGCCACAAATACAGAAACGAGACAGAGTGAGGGGGAAGAAAACTCAAACAATAAGAAAAATACCAGATATAATCGGGAAACAGATTCGGAAGATTCTGATGTCATAGATATAACACCGCGCAAGAAGAAAAAAACACATTTAAGTAAACAGCCAACAATTGAGGAAAGTTTAAAATTGGATAATGGTAAAAGTCAGACATCATCTGCAAAGCAAAACATACAATCCCTGGATATTTGCGATACGGATAGTGATAATGATGAACTAACAAGGACGCCAAGAAAATCGAAAAATTTAAGTTTAACAAAGAGGACGCCTGAAAAGAATAAACCACCAACAACACAATTGATAAATAGTACCAAACAATCGGAAACATCTTCCAAAGATGTAAACGATGATTGTCATGTTGTTGAAATTTCCACAGATTCTGAAAGCAATTATCCCCAAACTAGTTCTAAGCGACCAAACTCTGCAACAAAGAACCTACTTGCAAAATCTCCAACTTTTGTTATAAAAACAAAAATAACACGATCCACACCACAAGTCCTAACAACGCCGAAGCCTGTTGATAGTAGTACTGCTTCTTCACAATCCGAGAGCAACAAGGGAGATGGCGAAAGCGATGATATTTCCTCGCAATTGGAAATGATACGCAAAGAACTGAAACTTTTGGAAGCCCAACGATTGGCGGATTTAAAAGCACGGACATGTAAAACATAGATACCATTTGAAACCCATATATACATATTTTTCTACATATATTGAATATATTTAAGATATTTCAAATATACAATTTTTGTAAGAATTTTTAGTAATAGACATTTGCAAGATTATCCTTAATTTTTAGTATAGTGGATTGAATTATACAAAAAGAATGTATAGAAGACTTAAAGAATAAAAAAATACAAGGTTGTATAAAAAACAGTTGGCTGTTTTTAGTTATTGTTAAGTTTGTAAATCAAATCAAACAAAATTTACTATTTCTTCCCTTAAGAGTTTAAATAGTAGGCAAAGAACCAAGACTTGTCCATAGAAAATACGGTAGTTGAAAGAAAGATTTTCAAAAAAAGGAACCCCCCAAAATAATCAGCAACAATTAGCTGCGGTCTGAACTCGTCATTGCTTTGATTTATTTCAAAGAATTTATCATAATCCCGATGAGTTGTTGATACAACAATTTTTCTATATCGAAAAAAAATAGATAAGATATACAATACTTTTATACCTTTATCATATGATAAATTAACTACATTATTTCCTATGTTTGTGTTCGACATGGCCATTATTATTACTGTGTCAAGAATACCAATTTTATGGGAGGCCAATTTAAATATTAACAAAATAGTAGTTATAACAGTTGTCTCGGCCGGTGTGTGGTGATCGAACGAATGAAATATATATTTGTGGCGAAAGTGAATATTGCGAAATTATAGAAATATGTATTTAAAATCTCTTGTTGTTGTTGTAATTTACTGTAATTTGTGTTCAATAGTTTTTGGAACCTGTAAGTGGTTTGCGTTGTAAAAAACAAAAATTGTAACTTTTGAAAAAATTATGAAATAACACTTGAAATATTAAGAGTTACAAACTGATGAAGTCAATAATGAAGAATGTTTGAAAATTGAAAATATTATGACTGAGCTCAAGTGGATCTAAATCCCATTTCTCAAAAGAGTGTATTAATCAAGTATTTTAGTACGCAGACAAAGTAGTATTTGTTGTTATGCTATTTCGCATTTTATTTTACCGGCATTTTATGGGTTTAGAATTATGGTTCAAAAAAAAAAAAAAAAAAAAAAAATAATAATAATAAAAAAAACAGTTGTGCTCATGTGACAATTGTAATAACGTAGTGATTCATATTCACCAGTGACGGAAGTATTTTCGATCCATTATTCGGTTATATGACTTTTAGCAAAATCATAGAAGCAAGCCAACCAGACCCTATTGTGTTAAATACTGGGGAGAATCAAATCTTAAGTTGAGAGTAGTCCATGTCTGAAGCACATATTTAGGGTCCAAGGAGAAAATAATAATAACACTGTGCGGGAAAAATAATAATAACACTGTGCAACACAAAAAATAATTACAGGAAAAATCCAGCTGATTGTAAAAGTAGAACTAAAATTAGAAGACACGTGTATCGGCATTTTGTAAGTTTACATTACAATGTAACACAAATAAAGGGGGCCGGTTCCCCCTCTTCGCATTTTTGGAAATTTTCGGATAAAGATTTCTTGAAATCCCTTCATTTAAGTTATATAGAGTTTACGCCAATATTTCTGATAACAATACGAGGATTATTTTGGTTAAATATCAAAAAGGGGTTTTCTGGTCCCTTTTTTAAAATATTCGGCCCAATTACGGTTGTCGTTTCTATAGTCGTCGTTGACGACATTATGTGCAAGACGCCCTCGCCGTCGCTTCGTTTCAAAAATGGCATTACGGTAAAGCATAGAAGCGACATCGACAGTTTAAAATAAAAGTTGGCAACAATTAAAAAAAAACGTTGGCAACACTCCCTTGTTATTGACAAAAAAACGATAAAAATTTGTATTTTGAATTCTTATTTCGTCTCTTTCGGAAAAATAAACCAGTAAAAAAGGCCTAAAGTCGATCGGGGCCGACTTTAAGATACCCTACACCACTTTGCTAATTTAGTAGAGCTCCACATAACAATTAAAAGTTTTTATGGGAGAATTCAATCATACACGCTATGATTACATAATTTCAAGTTCAAAGGACTAATTATGCCGAAGCATTTGTACCTTTTAAATTCGGAATTGTATTGCCCATTTGGTGCACAATTAATTTAAAATCGGATAAAGATATATGTGGGAGCTATATCCAAATCTAAACCGATCTCGATAAAATTTGGCAAAGATGTTTCTGAGCTGTATTTGATATATTTCCCTGAATATCGTTGTTACGGAGTGCATATTACTGCTGTGGGTAACAAATATAAGAAATCGGATGAACAATATATATGGGAGCTATAGCTATATCTGAACCGATCACCAAATTTGATATACTAGCTTCTAGACTCAATTCGGTCGTAAGTGCCAAATTTCATCCCATTTGGACAAATATTAGAAGTTTGGTGCACTATAAAATCCAAATCTGAACCGACCTCGATAAAATTTAGCAAATGTATTTCGGAGCTGTATTTGATATATTTCCCCAAATGTTGTTGTTACAGAGTGCATATTACGGCTGCGGAGGACAAAAATAACAAATCGGATGAAAAATATATATGGGAGCTATAGCTATATCTGAACCGATTTCGATCAAATTTGGCATACTTATTTTCAAGCCTAATTTGGTTGTATGTGCAAAATTCCATACTATTCGGGCTGATATTACACGTTTGGTGCACAATAAATGCAAATCGGACGAAGATATATATGGGAGCTATATCTAAATTTTGACCGATTATCTCATTGGGCCAAACAAATGATTTTTGCAAAATTTCATCTGAATCGGGTAATAAATGCGAACTGTACTTTGTTTATAAAAATACATGGACAGACGGACGGACATGCATAAATCGAGTCAGAATGTGATTCTATGCAGATCATCAAAAGGAACTATGTCTATCTCGTTTCTATTTGCCTGTTACAAACAAATGCACAATGACATAATACCCTGACCACCTTGTGGTGTATAAATAGACTCAAAAGAGCTAAAGAGTTGCTTCACTTGGCCGAAAGTGTTGAACCGAGTTTGGCCGAATTTGGTTTTCTCCGATGAGAAAACATTCGTTGTCCAGCAGTTTGTAAACAAACAAAACGATCGTGTTTACTTGCCAAAGAGGTCAGCTGAAAATGTGCACCTTCGGTTGGCCACCAGAACTCAAGCGCCGGCCATGGTGATTGTGTGGGCCGCCATAACAGCCGATGGTCGCTCTCTGCTCGTATTAATCGACCGTGGCGTTAAAATAAATGCCGAATATTATAGCGAAAATATTCTGGAGGCTGTATTAAAGCCTTGGGCACGCAAACATTTTGGCCGCAGACCTTGGACATTCCAACAGGACTCAGCACGCGCCACCTAAGAATGGTTACAAAATGAGGTTCCTCGCTTCATTTCCAGCGCACAATGGCCATCAAAATCTCCGGATACCAATCCGTTGGAATATTGTGTCTGGAGTATTTTGGAAAGCAAGGTTGGCACTAAAAAATACCAAAGTGTCGATCACCTCAAGCAAGCACTTCGCCGGGAATGGACCAAAATACCGCAGAGCAACATTCGGGCAGCGTGTGACGGTTTCATTGGCCGTTTGAAGGCCATAATTCAGGCCAAAGGTGACCAATTCGAACAAATCTAAACTTATTCTAAAATTTTATGCTATTTCCGACTTTTTTTGATTTCATTCAATAAAATTGCAAAAATAAAATGTAAAAATTCAGGAGTTTGACTTTGTTGCAGTTTTTTTTTAATGTCACCCTGTACATACGTCGAATATTTAGGGATGTTACAAAAGGAAACTTTTTAAGGTGAAGTGTATTAAAATTTATGGGGTCAAAATGTGTGAGCAGTTCTTTTTGAATTTTTTTTCTTATTCTTTACGTTCCTGAAGGAAAAAACAGTAAATATGGTGTATCCGAAAGCATTACAATATTTTTTTTTTTAATTTTTGAATTTGTTTTATTTTTATTTAAAAATCACAAAAATATTTGTATAAATATTTTTGAATGTATATAAAATCAAATGGGGTAGCGAAGCGCACCGGGTTCAGCTGTAGATATATATAGGTCACATAATAATTTATCATTGGGAAAAATTGATAAGAATTTTTAAATGTCAGTGACTCACAGTTACATTAGTCATAGACGATTTTTTTATTCAATTTCCAAAACGGGACTATTCATAAAAAACAACCAAATTTTAATTTTTCCCATTTTGTTTTGTTTTTTTTTTTCTTCTTTCCAGCCACTGACAAAAACAAAACCGTCGAAAAAGATCCTAGAATTATTGGTGGCCAAGCAATTTCAATTGAATCGGCACCATGGCAGGTGTCGGTACGGCTAAAGGTGTACGAAGCACAAATGTATGGCTATGGCCATATATGTGGTGGTTCGGTTATATCGCAACGCGTGGTGGTAACAGCTGCTCATTGTATACTCAAGTAAGTCAATGGCAAACAAAAGGGTTACGGGGGGACTATGTAACGTATGATTGATTTTGAGTCCATAATACTTGGGCGTATGAGTATTAAGAGATAAATGACAACAAAATAAATTACGGGAGAACTAAATCGGACAAAAAATTCAATTAATCTTTATACCCTCACCATAGCATGGAGGGTATATTAAGTTTGTCCTTCCGTTTGTAATACCTCGAAATACACAATTTAGACCCCACAAAGTATATATATTCTTGATCAGCATAAAATTCTATGTCGATTTAGCGATGTCCGTCCGTCTGTGGAAACCACTCTAGCTTCCAAACGAATTTAAGTAGATTGATAAAATTTTACTCAAATGTATGATATGTTTCCAGGACTTTTGGTATTGAAAATGGGCCAAGTAGGCCCACGTTTTGGTATAGCCCCTATATAAGGGTACCTCCCGATATTCGATATTTTGATGATTTTAGCGACTTAATTCACCGGAATTGGATCAAATTTGGTATTTGAAGTTCGTAATGGATACTACAGCATAATACAGAAAATTGTCTGTGCAGGTCCACGTCTTCGTATAGCCCCCATATAAGGGTACCTCCCGATATTGGGTATTTTGATGATTTTAGCGAATTTATTCACCGGAATTGTTTCAAATTTGGTATTTGAAGTTCGTAATGGATAGTACAGCCTATGACAGAAAATTTTCCATTCAAGTCCACGTCTTTGTAGAGCCCCCATATAACGGTACCTCCCGATATTCGGTATTTTACTAATTTTAGCGACATTTTTCACCGGAATTTTTTCAAATTTGGTATTTGAAGTTCGTAATGGATAGTGCAGCCTGTGACAGAAAATTGTCTATGCAGGTCCACGTCTTCGTATAGCCCCCATATGTCATTACCTCCCGATATTCGGTATTTTGATGATTTTAGCCATTCTTCACCGGAATTGTTTCAAATTTGGTATTTGAAGTTCGTAATGGATGCTACAGCCTATGACAGAAAATTTTTTATTCTGGTCCACGTCTTCGTATTGTAATGGCTTATGACAAATGTTACCTATGCAGGTCCATGTCGTCGTATAGATCCTAATATAACAGCTACATTCGGTATTTTTAAGATTTTAACATAATTTTTAACGGATTTTATTGTTTTTGAGAATTACCAAATTCGTTCCAAATAGTGGAGGGTATTGAAAGTTCGTCCCGGCCGAACTTACAGCTTTTTTTATTTGTGTTTTTTTTTTGTAATATTTCAGTCAAAATGTCCAGCCCATGGTTTTTCGCAGTCCCGATGAATTCACCTTGGTTATGGGCTCGGCTTATTTGTATCAAGCGCCAGCGTACACCCTGCAATATGATGTCCTGCAAATTGCCGTTAATATGAACTTCAATTTAACAACTATGGTCAATGATATTGCCTTGTTTCTGATCAATGGTTATATACCCTGGTCGTGGCCCACAGTGCAAGCCATACCCCTAAATTACTGGCCGGAGCCGAGTGGTACTCTGTGTACGATATCCGGTTGGGGCAAGACAAGTACATATTCGGTAAATATTTTTAAAAAGAATCTCAATCAAAAGAAAACTGAATTAATTTATCTTCTTTTTTTTTGATACAGGACTCTGTTTCGGGTATTTTGATGGAAGCAACGGTTCCCATTGTTGGCTATGCCACGTGCGACATAAATTACGGTAACATCACAACGGGCATGATATGTGCTGGTTATATGCAAACCGGTGGTGTTGATGCCTGCCAGGGTGATTCCGGTGGTCCTTTGGTGTGTAATGGTTATTTGACTGGTGTTGTTTCGTGGGGTTATGGCTGCGCCCAACCCGGCTATCCGGGTGTATACACAAATGTCTCGTACTACTACAATTGGATTGTAACAAATAATTCTTCCTTTAATTATAACTATTATTATAATAATGCCCAGAATATTAATTCGAATATGTTATGTTTGTTTTTGAATATTTGTTTGTCGTTGTTGTTAATGAAAATTTTGAAATAATTTAAAATAAGAATGGGAAAATTGCCTTTAAAATAAATTGCAGTTTTATTGAAATAAAAGGGGGTAAGGTGGAGAAAATGAGGGAGAGAGCATAATAGGGGTTAGATTTTTATAAGGTATTATACTTGAGTATGGATTTGTGACGCCATAGCGATGACGTCATGCTTAAGTATTCCATATTTGATTTTTGACTTTTTATACCCTACACCATATGGTGGTAAGGGTATTGTGTCTTTGTGCATTTGCTTGTAACATCGAAAGGAAGCGAGATAAACCCATAGCTACTTTTGAGGATATTCATAGAATTACTTTCTGAGTCGATTTATATATGCCAGCTCGTCCATCCGTCCATCTGACCATGTATTTTTGTGAACAAAATACAGCTTGCATTTATTATCCGATTGAGATGAATCTTTCCAAACAATATTTGTTTGGCTCAAGGATGAACCCTTTTGAAATTGGTGAGAATCAGTTTAAATTTAGATATAGCTCCCATATATATCTTCAACCGATTTCCGGTTAATTGTGCACCAAATGGCCAATATCAGTTCAAATGACGTGAATTTTGGCACATCCGACCGAATACTGTTTAGAAGCAAGTACATCAAATTTGGTGAAAATGGGTTCAGACAGAGCTATGTTTCATCCGATTTGGTGTTTAAGTCCCACACATGTGTAATATGCGCTCCATTACAACGATCTTTGGTACCAGATGCCCAATACAGCGCAGAAATACCTCTGTCAAATCATATCGAGATCGGATCAGATTTGGATAAAGCTCCCATATATAACTTTATCCGATATCAGGTTTATTGTGCGAATGAATTTTGGCAATTCCGACTAAATTCATCCTAGAAGCAAGTACTTCAAATTTGGAGAAAATCGGTTGAGATATACAGGGTGAGATAAAAAATTGCAACAAAGACAAACGTCATAATTTTTAAATTTTTTTAAATTTTATTGAATGAAAGCAAAAAATGTCGGAAATATCATACAATTTTAGAATAAGATTTAGATTTGTTCGAATTGGTCACCTTTGGCACGAATTATGGCCTACAAACGGTCAATGAAACCGTCACACGCTGCCCGAATGTTTCTCTGCGGTATTTTGGTCCATTCCCGGCGAAGCGCTTGCTTGAAGTAATCGACACTTTGGTATTTTTTAGTGGAAACCTTGCTTTCTAAAATACTCCAGATACAATAGTCCAAGGGATTGGTATCCGGAGATTTTGGTGTCCATTGTGCGCTGGAAATGAAGCGAGGAACCTCATTTTTGTAACCATTTTTGGGTGGCGCATGCGGAGTGCGATGGTGATGAGTCATGTGGGAATGTCCAAGTGCTGCGGCTTTAATACACCCTCCAGAATATTTTCGCGACAATATTTGGCATTTATTCTAATGCCGAATAATTAATACGAGCGGAGAGCGACCATCGGCTGTTATTGCGGCCCACACCATCACCATGGACGGCGCTTGAGTTCTGATGGCCAAGTGAAGGTGCATATTTTCAGCTGACCTCTTTGGCAAGCAAACACGATCATTTTGTTTGCTTATAAACTGCTGGGCAACGAATGTTTTCTCATCGGAAAAAACCAATTTCGGTAGTTCACCACTTTCGATCAAGCGAAGCAACTCTTTAGCTCTTTTGAGTCTATTTTCTTTCTGTTCCTGTGTAAGTTCTTGCACTTTGTGGAATTTCAATGGCTTTGCCCCGAGCTCATTTTTAAATATTTTCCGAATAGAATATTGCGTTGTGATCAGCTCACGAACCATTTTTAGACCACTGCGACGAGGGTTTCGATCAAGTCGCTTTTTTAATTTTCGAGCCATATCTGCTGATGTTGCTGTTTTTTACTGTCAACTGCCTTGACGTCTTGCTACGCTACCAGTATAACGGTAACGAGTGATGGTACGAGACACAAACGATTTATTCTTATTTAAATGCTGGAATGCTCTAACGATAGCCACTTGTGGTTTTCCAGCCAAATATAAAGAAAACACACTATCACGCTTGAATTCCACCACGAATAACTTTTTTTCTGAATAATTCTTAGCAAAATGCTTTTGTACGCTTGTAAACAATATAATGAGCTGTCACTGGCATAATTTTAACAGCTGTCGGACAAGTGGCTTAGGAATGACATCTGTCTAAAGTTGGTTGCAGTTTTTTCATTTCACCCTGTAGTTTTATTGAATATGGCCAAAGGCCTCAAATGCAAGGGTCTCATAAAATTGATGAGATAGAGAAAAACGGTTAGACATATGTCTTCTCTTTTTTGGTATTCTCTCATGTCAAAATGTTGTCAATAATGTTTGATTTAAACAATTATATAATAACACTAGTCACATTTTATAAACTAATATAACTCATATTTCGGATTAACATGAATATTGGCCAACTATTTAAATTCCACATAACATTCTATATCTCGAATGTAGGCCTTCTGTAATTTAAAACTACGAATTTTGAAGAAGCAGATAAGTTCTTTGCGTTGACAATTTCAGGATGACAATTTATTCCTCAGCAATTTATTTTAATTTTTTGTTTTTCAAAACACATATCATGACATCACATTACATCAACTAAATGGTTTTATTTACAACAGTTCCAGTGTTAGTTATTAATTATCTCTTTTTCGATTCGACATTTCAAGAGCAAGCACTTTTGATATCGTACTACCAACTATATCTTGTTGTTGTTGGTCGGTATAGAGATTGTCATATTTTGGCTTTTTATTGTGTGTATTTTCGAAAGGCTTTGGTTTTATATTTTTTTTTCTGTTAACGATAAGATATGGAGATAAGTGTCGCGTCACTTATAACGAATCAATCGCATTTGTCATTAATGCATTAAAGTTCAGTTAAAACGGCCTCAGTTGTGATTTGATATTCATCGGACGTGAATTACATTCTATAATCATTTGTGTGGTTGTTTTTTTTGTCGAAATCGAAACCGCGAATCATTAAATATAATGATAAATAATCGAAAAATGTCCGGGACACTGCAGAGTGTCTTAATAGTTTTGTGTCTATTCGCCCAGTGCAGAGGAAGTAAGTAAAATTGTGTTGAGACATGTGTAAACGACATGTTAATTAAAGTGTAATCGATTTGATCTTTTGTCGTTTGTAATGTGGTGTTGGTAGCTGTGAGCAAGAAATATAAAAGAGATCACAACATTTGCTTTGTTTACATTTATTTGATAATCTCTTTGGACTCTGCCGTTAATCTCTGTGTGGGTGTTGTAGTTGCTCTGTTATAGAGTAACATTCTGTAATGTGTGTGTGTGAGACAGAGAGAGAGATCTAGAGAAGATACCATCTTCAGAATTTTGTGTTTTTGTTTTCATTTTACATGCAAAAACTGTTATTCTCAATAAAATATGATTAATGTTATGCTCTTCCTGTGAGAGTGCTCCGCGAAAACATCAACTCAAACAGACGTAACCATACGTATGAGTAATTATGGGTTATATGATTTGCATAAATTTTATTGCTCATACGCATATGAAAGGTGATATAAGAAAGGTGATAAGTAGTCAACAATTAAAAATCTTAAGAAGAGTAAGAATGTGGTTTAAATTAATTTGTATTATTTTTGAAGTTTTTTGAATTTTTCGTGGATTTTTTAATTTATTTGTGAGAAATCTATGAGAATTGTTATCGCGATTTTCGTTTTAACAACTTAAAATGTATCAGTCGGTTTTGCCGACAGTTGTAAACCCTTAGCCAATGTTTGATTATTTAAATATATTTCGACTTCGGTTATGATTATCATTTCGTATCAGAACTAAATAAATATGATATAAATATTTGAATGTGTCAGGTTTGGACTTCCCTCACTTTATATGAAATATATGTGATAATTTTTAGAAAATTTGCGTGAGGTACTAGATATAGTGGACCGAAGTGTTCTATTTTTACACTTCATCTATTGCAGACAAAAATACTGGTATGGACAAAATTACAAGAAAATCGATAATTTATATCCAATTTTTTGTAAAATTCCATATTCAACTCAGGTTTCTGGATGAGAGAAATATTTAGATATAGGAAGTTGTAGAGAATCGCTGACTTGTTTCGCAAGTTGTGACAGACAAAAATATTGAAAATTGTGACCCTTTGTGGGTAAGAAGGGGTTTGCAATTTGAAGAGATTTAGATGCTTATTTAGCTTTCTTTGAGCGTTTTGTTTTTTAAAATCTTGAACCCTATGGGGGGAGGTACCAGAAGGATTGGTTCGATCTCTACCATCTTTTTAACATATCTTGTGTTGATGGAAATATTGAGATGTACCAAGTCTGAATGGAATCTGATGTTAATTTCGCGTTTTCTGAGCTTCATGGATGTTCAAAATTTTAACCCTTTGCGGGGGAGGTACCGGAAGGAGTGGACCGATATATCTCATCTTCACAGCAGATTTTGTGTTAGTATAAATAATGGGATGTGAGAAATATGAAGATAATCGGATGCTTATTTCTGATTTTATGATCGTTTTGGTTATTCAAAACTTTTACCCTTTGTGGGGGAGATACCAGAAGGAATGGTCCGATCTCTACCATTTTTATGACGGATGTTATGTTGATGGAAATATTGATATGTGCCAAGTCTGAATGTAATTGGATATTATTTTTTTGTTGTATGAGCTTCATGAATATTCAAAATGTACACCCTTTGTGGGGGAGGTACCAGAAGGAGTGGACCGATATATTCCATTTTCACACCGGATAATAAAAGTATTGTGATGTGTTGAACTTGAAGACGATCGGACTCTTACATCACATTTTATTAAGTTGTAATTATTCAAAATTTTGACCCTTTGTGAGGGAGGTAGTGGATGGAGTGAACCGATATTGTCCATTTTCGCACCTGATCTAGCACTGATGCAAATATTAGGATTTGCAAAGTTGGAGGAAAATTGGATTATCCTTTCTCTTATTGTGCAGTAAAATATTTTCTTTAAAAATGTCGATCCTTTGTGGGGAAGGTACCAGAAGGAGTGGACCGATATATAGTATAGTAAAAATATTGTTATGTGTTTAACTTGAGGACAATCGGACTTTTATATCACAGTCTATAAGAGTTGTAATTATTCAAAATTTTGACGCTTTGTGGGAGAGGTACCAGAAGGAGTGGACCGATATTGCCCATCTCCAAACTCCATCTAAGTTTGATAATAATATTACGATGTGCTAATTTTAGACCAAATCGGCTACTTCCTTCGGGAGTTATCGTGCGCGCCAGACAGCCTGACGGACGACGGACGGGCGGACATCGCTAGATCGACTCCAAATGTCCTGAAACGTTATTTCGATGATGTACATTGTGGCCGTATCAAATTATATATACCCTCCAGCCATATGGCTGAGGGAATAAAAAAAATTAAGTCATGATCGTAAATTTTCAAGAATATTTTTTAAGTTATTACCATTAAGAATAATTCTTGAGTCATAATTTTCATATGGATATAGACCATAAATTTATTTAGTTTCAAGAAATTATTTTTTTTTCCAACTTAATATAAACGTGTTGTTATTATTTCAACTATTGAGTATGCCGGAAGTACTCATGTGAATCATATCTAAAATTGGAAATTTCTATTTAATTGATATAATAAATTCTAATAAAGTACGTTAAATTGCGGCGCAGAACCCTCGTTTATCGTTCAATAACTCCTTATCAAATGGCAAGCAGGGAAGGTGATTATCAGCGATGTTGTGAAAATTCACAGTCAAAATACTGTTAAATTTCTATTTTAAGGGAGGTCTGATAAAATCGAGGATGGTTTTAATTACTCTAATAAACGAAATTTCAGTTAAAGTCAATAAAACCATGTGGGTGTTGGTGTTATTTGGCAATTGAAGAAAAGGGAGGGGAGTAATGTTTTAATTGGGCAAAGAAAAAAGATGAATTTCTCAGACGGAAAAATGCGTAATATATATTGACTAACACTCAATTGAGCAGTTCGTTGGTGGTCATTTCAGTCTTCAACAATTTTACGAGGGCCACTACACCGGTTTGGAAAATTGAGAGAATTGAGTTCACACTGTTGTTGTTTGTAGGCCTGTATCAAGACTAGAGATACCTAGGCTTTTTCGATTTTTGCGTTCATCGAAAAAGTATTTAACCTTAGGTAGATCTAGAGGATATATTAAGTTTGTCATTCCGTTTGTAACACCTCGAAATATATATTTTAAACCTCGATTTAACGATGACCGCCCGTCTGTGTGTCTGTCCGACATCCGTCTGTGGAAATCACTCTAGCTTCCGAACGAATTGAAGTAGGTTGATAAAATTTTACTCAAATGTATATTATGTCTGCAGGACTTTTGGTATTGAAAATTGGCCATGTAGGTCCACGTTTTGGTATAGCCCCTATATAACGGTACCTCTCGATATTCTATGTTTTGATGATTTTAGCGACATTTTTCGCCGGAATTGTTTCAAATCTGGTATTTGAAGTTCGTAATGGATATTACAGCCTATGACAGAAAATTGTCTGCGTAGGTCCACGTGTTCGTATAGCCCCCATAGGACTGTACCTTCCGATATTCGATATTTTGATGATTTTAGCGACATTATTCACCGGAATTGTTTCAATCTGGTATTTGAATTTCGTAACGGATACTACAGCATTTGAATGTTGTAATGGCTTATGACAAAAGTTGCCTATGCAGATCCACTACGTCGGTTAGGCCCTAATATAACTGCTACATTCGGTAGTTTAAAGATATTAAAAGAATTTTTAAGGGATTTTTTTTTGAAAATTGCCAAATTCGTTCCAATTGGTGGAGGGTACTCAAAGTTCGGCCCGGTCGAACGTAAAGCTTTTATACTATTTTTTTCGGATCCAAAGTCGATTAAAATCGCTTTGCTACCAACAGGATAAAATATCGATTTTACGATTTTTTTGGTGGTCATTACTAAAAAGCTAATATCATCCATAATCAGGAGAAGAGAGCCACTAAAAGCTAAATAATTGAGTTCAGGGATTCTCCACAAATTCTCTCCTCTCCTTGTTCGAATCAGGTCCACTAATTGGTATAGCGGCAAGTTTGACTAATACCTCTAATTTTATTTTTCATGATTTTTTATTTTTTTAAGGTTCTTTACCAACTGATGCCACCTTGAGGGTCCCAATTCCGTCAAAGGAATCTAAAATCATTGGAGGTTCACCGATATCAATTAACGATGCCAAGTATCAGGCTTCATTGCGTATCGTTGCCACCGAAAGTTCCCGCGGCCTTGGATATGGTCATATTTGTGGAGGTTCCATCATCACCCAGAGAGTAATATTAACTGCAGCTCATTGTTTGATGAAGTGAGTAAAAGAAACGGCTTTGCATTTTTTTCTAAAAAACTCCGGAAGCGCCTATAAAATTTTGAAAATAAATGTGTATTAAGTCGCTTTACACTTTAGATAGTCTGGTCCACAAATATACTTCTTAAATTAAAATATATGCTTTAAAATCAATATCCCCCATTAAAACATTTCAATTCCTTTCAGTTACAACACAGATCCCGCAACAGAACGTACCGCCGGCGAGTTCAAAGTCGTGGTGGGCTCCACCCAACTTTTTGTCAAAGAAGCCAATATGCTGCAATATTATGTCCAGGAACTTGTGAGGCATGTCGGTTTTGATAGCGTCAGCATGGTAAATGATATAGCCTTGGTCTTCATTAATGGTTATATACCATGGAATTGGCCAACGGCAAAGGCAATACATTTAAATGACATGGAATTGAATGATGGTGTACCCTGTAATGTCAGTGGTTGGGGTAATACGGAAATGGTGTGTAGTAACATCCTGAAAAGGTGTTTTGCAGAATTTTTCATTTATTTCTTAATTTTTTAGGGCACTATACCCAACAACCTGCTGTCAACTGTGGTGCGCAGCATATCCTACGCCGATTGTGATTCGGTTTATGGTAACATACCGCTGACCATGATTTGTGCTGGCAACTTTATGGCCGGTGGTGTTGATGCTTGCCAAGGCGATTCTGGTGGTCCAATGGTCTGTGCCGACAGTCAAGTTGGCATTGTATCGTGGGGTATTGGTTGTGGCCAGCGTTTTAATCCCGGCGTCTACACAAATGTTTCGTCATTTCACAATTGGATTGTACAGGCCAATAACACCTTTAATTATACCCTCTATAGAAATAGTGCTGGTAATTTGAAATCTGCATATGTTCCAGTTTTTATAATCTGTAGTTTATTAAAGTTTTTCAAATTGTTTTAAAATTTAAGTTTAAGAAAAATTGTGGGGAAAATTGAATTTATTGCAGAAATTCGAATGTAGACTAAAATTGGCATTTATTTGTAGGTAGTACATTTTTTGTTTTTATTTTTTTTTCTAAATAAATTTAAAAATGTAAAATATGTAAATATATTCTTGAATTAAACATATATTTTGTGAACTGAAAAAAATAAAAAAAAATAATTTTAAAACCAGTAAAGAAAGTCTTAAAGTCGGGCAGGCCGACTTTATGATACCCTACACCACTTTGCTAATTTAGTAGAGCTCGACATAACAATTCACAGTTTTGATGGGAGAATTCAATCATACACGCTATGATTATAATTATAATTTAAAGTTGAAAGGACTAAATATGCCGAAGCATTTGTATCTTTTAAATTCGGACATGTATTGCCCATTTGGTGCACAATTAATTTGAAATCGGAGAAAGATATATATGGGAGCTATATCCAAATCGCAACGGATCTCGATAAAATTTGGCAAAGATATTTCTGAGCTGTATTTGATATATTTCCCTGATTATCGTTGTTACGGAGTGTATATTACGGCTGTGGGTAACAAATCGGATGAACAATATATATGGAAGCTATAGCTATATCTGAACCGATACTCACCAAATTTGACATACTAGCTTCTAGATTCAATTCGGTCGTAAGTGCCAAATTCCATTCCATTTGGAGAAATATTAGACGTTTGGTGCACAATAAAAGGTAAATCGGACGAAGTTATATATGGGAGCTATATCCAAATCTGAACTGATCTCGATAAAATTTAGCAAATGTATTTCTGAGCTGTATATGATATATTTCCCCAAATATTGTTGTTACAGAGTGCATATTACGGATGCGGAGCACAAAAATAACAAATCGTATGAACAATATATGTGGGAGCTATAGCTATATCTGAACCGATTTCGATCAAATTTGGCATACTTATTTTCAGGCCTAATTTGGTTGTATGTGCAAAATTCCATACTATTCGGGCTGATATTAGACGTTTGGTGCACAAAAAAGGCAAATCGGACGAAGATATATATGGGAGCTATATCTAAATTTTGACCGGTTATCTCCAATTTCAATAGGGTCCGTCCGTCTATATAAATATTGCGACGTGCCAGTTTTGGTCTATATTGGTAACTTCCTTCACATAAGAAGCAGGGTGAAATAAAAAAAACTTCAACAAAATCAAACGCCATAATTTTTACATGTTTTTAAATTTTATTGAATGAAAGCAAAAAATGTCGGAAATAGCATCAAATTTTAGAATAAGTTTAGATTTGTTCGAATTAGTCACCATTGGCACGAGTTATGGCCTTCAAACGGCCAATGAAACCGTCATACGCTGCCGAATTTTGCTCTGCGAGATCTTGGCCAATTTCTGGTGGAGCGCTTTCTTTGGTATTTTTTAGTTTTTAGTACCAACCTTGCTTTCCAAAATACTACAGATACAAAGTCCAACGAATTGGTATCCGGAAATTTTGGTGGCCATTGTGCCCTGGGAAAAGAAGTGAGGAACCTCATTTTGTAACCATTCTTGGGTGGCGTGTGCTGAGTGCGATGGTGCTGAGTCCTCTTGGAATGTCCAAGATCTGCGGCCAAAATGTTTGCGTGCCCAAGGCTTTAATACACCCTCCAGGATATTTTCGCGATAATATTCGGTATTTATTCTGATGCCACGGTCGGTTAATACGAGCGGAGAGCGACCATCGGCTGTTAAGGCGGCCCACAGCTGACCTCTTTGGCAAATAAACACGATCATTTTGTTTGTTTACAAACTGCTGGACAACAAATGTTTTCGTTTTTTGGAGAAAACCAAATTCGGCACTTCACCACTTTCCGCGAAGCGAAGCAACTCTTTAGCTCTTTTGGGTCTATTTTCATTCTGCTGCGATGTAAGTTCTTGCACTTTTTGGAATTTCAATGGCTTTACCCCGAGCTCATTTTTGAATATTTGCCGAATGGAATATTGCGATATGTTCAGCTCACGAGCCATTTTCGGCCATTGCGACGCGGGTTTGGTCAAGTCGCTTCTTTACTTTTCGAACTATTACTGCTGATGTTGCTGTTTTCTTCCGTCCACTTCCTTGACGTCGGGCTACTCACGGTAACAAGCGATGGTACGAGACACAAAAGATTTATTCACATTTAAATGCCGGAGTGCTCGGACGATAGCCACTTGTGGTTTTCCAGCCAAATATAAAGAATTCACACTATCACGCTTGAATTCCATCACGAATAACTTTTTTTCTAGAAAATTCTCACGAAAATGCTTATGTACGCTTGTAAACAATATAATGAGCTGTCACTGAAATAATTTTCACAGCTGTCAGACGAGTGGCTTAAAAATGACAACAGTCCCAAGTTGGTTGAAGTTTTTTCATCTCACCATGTACATATTAATCCGATTTTACGGTTATTGCTTACCATACATGTAATCTCAGCCCAAATTGGATTGATATTTTTATATTCAACCCATTTTTTTCCATTTGGTGAATCTCGGTCCGGTATATCTTTTGCTCCAATAGATATTTGTTTAAAATCGATTCAGAGTTGGATATAGTTCCCAAATTGTCACTACTCGAAAGGCATGATATGCATTCAACTAAGGTTCATAGTTGTTATGATCTACTTGGTATGTTCTACTAAGTACACATAGTGGTGAAGGGTCGGTACATAGTCGGCTCCGCCTGACTTTTGACCTTTCCTTACTGGTTCTGTTTTCTATTCTTGTGTTTCAAAAAATTCTGAGGAGCGCCTAAAAGTATGCTATAAAATATTAAATGCATAAAGTCACTTTACACATGACACTTACATGATATGTATTCGGACACGTAACACTTACATGATATGTAAATGGACTTAAGATTGTCTGGTCAATAAATTTGCTTTTAAAATTAAAACTAACGCCGTTAAACTAATGCCCTCCATTAAAAAAATAATTTCTTTCAGTTACAACACAGATCCCGCAACAGAACGTACCGCCGGCGAGTTCAAAGTCGTGGTGGGCTCCACCCAACTTTTTGTCAAAGAAGCCAATATGCTGCAATATTATGTCCAGGAACTTGTGAGGCATGTCGGTTTTGATAGCGTCAGCATGGTAAATGATATAGCCTTGGTCTTCATTAATGGTTATATACCATGGAATTGGCCAACGGCAAAGGCAATACATTTAAATGACATGGAATTGAATGATGGTGTACCCTGTAATGTCAGTGGTTGGGGTAATACGGAAATGGTGTGTAGTAACATCCTGAAAAGGTGTTTTGCAGAATTTTTCATTTATTTCTTAATTTTTTAGGGCACTATACCCAACAACCTGCTGTCAACTGTGGTGCGCAGCATATCCTACGCCGATTGTGATTCGGTTTATGGTAACATACCGCTGACCATGATTTGTGCTGGCAACTTTATGGCCGGTGGTGTTGATGCTTGCCAAGGCGATTCTGGTGGTCCAATGGTCTGTGCCGACAGTCAAGTTGGCATTGTATCGTGGGGTATTGGTTGTGGCCAGCGTTTTAATCCCGGCGTCTACACAAATGTTTCGTCATTTCACAATTGGATTGTACAGGCCAATAACACCTTTAATTATACCCTCTATAGAAATAGTGCTGGTAATTTGAAATCTGCATATGTTCCAGTTTTTATAATCTGTAGTTTATTAAAGTTTTTCAAATTGTTTTAAAATTTAAGTTTAAGAAAAATTGTGGGGAAAATTGAATTTATTGCAGAAATTCGAATGTAGACTAAAATTGGCATTTATTTGTAGGTAGTACATTTTTTGTTTTTATTTTTTTTTCTAAATAAATTTAAAAATGTAAAATATGTAAATATATTCTTGAATTAAACATATATTTTGTGAACTGAAAAAAATAAAAAAAAATAATTTTAAAACCAGTAAAGAAAGTCTTAAAGTCGGGCAGGCCGACTTTATGATACCCTACACCACTTTGCTAATTTAGTAGAGCTCGACATAACAATTCACAGTTTTGATGGGAGAATTCAATCATACACGCTATGATTATAATTATAATTTAAAGTTGAAAGGACTAAATATGCCGAAGCATTTGTATCTTTTAAATTCGGACATGTATTGCCCATTTGGTGCACAATTAATTTGAAATCGGATAAAGATAAATATGGGAGCTATATCCAAATCGCAACAGATCTCGATAAGATTTGGCAAATATATTTCTGAGCTGTATTTGATATATTTCCCTGATTATCGTTGTTACGGAGTGTATATTACGGCTGTGGGTAACAAATCGGATGAACAATATATATGGAAGCTATAGCTATATCTGAACCGATCTTCACCAAATTTGACATACTAGCTTCTAGTCTCAATTCGGTCGTAAGTGCCAAATTCCATCCCATTTGGACAAATATTAGAATATTTGGTGCACAATAAAATGTAAATCGGACTAAGTTATGTATGGGAGCTATATCCAAATCTGAACCGATCTTGATAAAATTTAGCAAAGGTATTTCTGAGCTGCATTTGATATATTTCCCCAAATATTGTTGTTACAGAGTGCATATTACGGCTACGGAGGACAAAAATAACAAATCGGATGAACAATATATATGGGAGCTATAGCTATATCTGAACCGATTTCGATAAAATTTGGCATACTTATTTTCAGGCCTAATTTGGTTGTATGTGCAAAATTCCATACTATTCGGGCTGATATTATACGTTTGGTGCACAATAAAAAGCAAATCGGACGAAGATATATATGGGAGCTATATCTAAATTTCAATAGGGTCCGTCCTTGGGCCAAACAAATGATTTGTGCAAAATTTCATCTGGATCGGACGGACGGACGGACAGACGGACATGCATAAATCGACTCAGAATGTGATTCTATGCCGATCATCAAAAGGAACTATGGGTCTATCTCGTTTCCTTTTGCCTGTTACAAACAAATGCACAAAGACATAATATCCTGACCCACTTGTGGTGTAGGGTATAAATATCAGTTGGTTTTGCCGATAAATGTATACCCTCAGTCAATGTTCGATTGTTTAAATATATATTTTGACTTCTAAATAAATGTCCTAAATAAAAATCTTTTGTTGACCTATGGAGTAGGTTCCAAAGGAATGGGTCTATATTGATCATGTCGTATCGGACCTAAATAAATACGATATAAATATTGCGACGTGCCAGGTTTGGTCTATATTGGTAACGTTCTTCACTTTACATGAGATGCAGGGTGAGTTATAAAACTTCAACCAAGTCAAACGCCATAATTTTTACATTTTTTTTTATAATTTTTATTGATTGACAGCAAAAAATGTCGAAAATAGCATTAAATTTTAAAATAAGTTTAGATTTGTTCGAATTGGTCACCTTTGGCACGAATTATGGCCTTCAAACGGCCAATAAAACCGTCACACGCTGCTCGAATGTTGCTCTGCTTTATTTTGGTTCATTCCCGTCGAAGCGCTTGCTTGAGGTGATCGACACTTTGGTATTTTTAGTTTTTAGTGCCAACCTTGCTTTCCAACCATGGCCGGCGCTTGATTTCTGGTGTCCAACCGAAGGTGCACATTTTCTGCTGACCTACGTGTTTACTTGCCCAAAGTAAACACGATCATTTTGTTTGTTCACAAACAGCTGGACAACGAGAGAGAGAGAGAGAGAGAGAGAAAACCAAATTCGGCAGTTCACCACTTTCGGCCAAGGGAAGCAACTCTTTAGTTCTTTTGAGTCTATTTTCTTTCTGTTGCGGTGTAAGTTCTTGCACTTCTTGGAATTTCTATAGCTTTACCCAGAGCTCACTTTTCAATATTTGCCGAATGGAATATTGCGATATGTTCAGCTCACAAGCCATTTTCGGCCACTGCGACGCGGGTTTCGATCGAACCATTTCTGCTGATGTTGCTGTTTTCTTCCGTTCACTTCCTTGACGTCGGGCTACTCAAAATATTTATTCACATTTAAATGCTGGAGTGCTCTAACGATAGCCACTTGTGGTCTTCCAGCCAAATATAAAGAAATCACACAATCACGCTTGAATTCCATCACGAATAACTTTTTTTCTGAAAAATTCTCACCAAAAATGCTTATGTGCGCTTGTAAGCAATATAATGAGCTGTAACTGAAATAATTTTAACAGCTGTCGGACGAATGGCTTAGAAATGACAGCTGTCTGAAGTTGATTGCAGTTTTTTCATCTCACCCTGTATATCCAATTTTATGCGAAATCATAATCATTCATTTTTCAAAATCATGACCCCTATGCGGGGGAGGTGCCAGAAGAAATGGTCTGATCTCTACCATCTTTATAACAGATCTTGTGTTGATATAAATATTGATGAAATATTTTATACCTTTGTGGGGGAGGTACCCGAAGGAGTGGACCGGAATACAATCGGGCCTTTGCATCACATTTTGTAGGAGTTGTAGTTATTCAAAATTTTGATACTTTATTTAAGAGGTACTTGATGGAGTGGATATTAGGATTTGCGAGGTTGGAGCAAAATTGGACTATCCTTTCTCTTTCTATGCAGTAAAATATTTTCTTTGAAAATTTCGACCTTTTGTGGGGGAGGTACCAGAAGGAAGTTTGTACCAAATCGGATACTTATCGTGCGCACCAGCCAGAAACGGAATTCCCATTTTGAGATGTATTTCGCAAAATCTAGTATAGAGCTTTGAAAATTCGTGGAGATCTGTGGATTACTTTATGAATCATTGGTTAAAGTAAGTGGGTCATGTCGATCCACATTTAGGTATAGTCTCCATATAAAGGCAAAGGTATATTTCGGAAGTTTAATGATCCCTCCAAAGGCCTACATTACAAGCTAACTAATTGTCTATTCTTAACAATTGTGGTATACACGTTTAGTTTCCACTGATGCGCCTACGAATATATGTTTGTTTATTTCAAGGTAGTTCATTTACTTACCTACCATCAACACACACCCGCACTCGTCTAACACTCCCATATACCACCATTACCGATATGGAATTCCCATTATTCGCATTTTTTCGGTTAAATTACTTTCCTTGATATCATTATGCCAATGTCCATAATCATTGCCATGATCATAAAAATCACACACGGGGAATGGTTAGTTTAGAAAATCGTATCGCTTATCGCCCACAGGTAAGTGACAAGTACTTGAACATTAATTTCGAAGTTCCATTGAATCGGGTCAATATGGAAAACAATAACGGTCTGAAATACATTTATAGCAGATAACTGTTTATATTAAACATTTTTAAATTTATAATGTGAAAATCATAGAAACCGTATTGCAGACTAAAAAATAAATAAAAAGCAAAGGGACTGGGTATGGTCGACAATGTGACACTCTACGAGATTTGAATCGCAATGTATATATACGCAAGTGAACATTTTAAATAGAGAACATTGAGGACCTTGAGATCTTCCACTGTCCATAGAGGACCTCGAGGTCTTCTACTCTCAATAGAAGATCAGACCTTGAAGTCCTCTACTCACCATAGAGGACATTGAGGTTCTCTACTCTCCATAGAGGACCTTGAGGTCCTCTACTCTCCATAGAGGACCTTGAGGTCTTCTACCCTTTATAGAGGTCTTCTACTCTCCATAGAAGACCTTGAGGTCTTCTACTCTCCATAGAAGACCTTGAGGTCTTCTACTCTCCATAGAAGACCTTGAGGTCTTCTACTCTCCATAGAAGACCTTGAGGTCTTCTACTCTCCATAGAAGACCTTGAGGTCCGCTACTCTACATAGAGGACCTTGAGGTCCGCTACTCTACATAGAGGACCTTGAGGTCCGCTACTCTCCATAGAGGACCTTGAGGTCCGCTACTCTCCATAGAGGACCTTGAGGTCATCTACTCTCCATAGAGGACCTTGAGGTCATCTACTCTCCATAGAGGACCTTGAGGTCCTCTACTCTCTATAGAGGACCTTGAGGTCTTCTACTCTCCATAGAAGACCTAGAGGTCTTCTACTCTCCATAGAAGACCTAGAGGTCTTCTACTCTCCATAGAAGACCTAGAGGTCTTCTACTCTCCATAGAAGACCTAGAGGTCTTCTACTCTCCATAGAAGACCTTGAGGTCCCCGACTCACCATAGAGGATCTTGAGGTCCTCGACTCACCATAGAGGACCTTGAGGTCCTCTACTCTCCATAGAAGACCTTGAGGTCCTCTACTCTCCATAGAGGACCTTGAGGTCCTCTACTCTCCATAGAGGACCTTGAGGTCCTCTACTCTCCATAGAGGACCTTGAGGTCCTCTACTCTCCATAGAGGACCTTGAGGTCCTCTACTCTCCATAGAGGAACTTGAGGTCCTCTACTCTCTATAGAACGCCTTGACCATAGAAGACCTTGAGCTCTTCTATTGTATATATAGTAGCCTTGGAGGTCTTCTATTGTCTATAGGACAACCTCGAGGTCTTCCATTTTCTATTACTATAGGAGACCTTAAGATCTTCTTTGTTTCTTCGTTGTCCTAGAATTGAAATTTGTATAACTGTATATGAACAAATTTGGGGTCTCTTAACGATTCAAAATAAACCCTTTCCAACTTGTATTGTATTTTTTATGACTCTTTCTTCATACCTTCATTTTTATTGGAACATTTCAATTTTATTCCGACATTGAACTTTTAACAAATTAGTCAACTTTTATTGGCCCCTTATCAACTTCGAAGGTGGGAAAAACAGCACCGCAGTGGAAAACCCAAAGCACCTTGAAATAAACTGGAAAACACCCCATAGGCTGCTGCAATAAACTAGGTAACCAACATAGTTAGAAATCAAAAAAACAAAAGAAGTAGTTACGCATTTGGCATACACACAAAAATTTCAATCAGAACTACCTTACCCTGATTAGATTAAAAAGAAATAAGAAGGTGGATGGGTGTCTGTTTTCCGTCACTGATAATCTTCGATCGTGTATTAAATGTTGCTGTTATTTACTTATTTTTATTCTATGATAATTCATGGTTATAAATTATCAATTCTTAAAGGTTTCAGACTTGCTGTTGACCAACAAAAGACGGAATGTGTCGTCGATCATTCCGATTTTAGCCATTCACGGTTAAGGTAGAACAGCCAAGAGGAAATATATAAACCCCTACGACCGTCATGGCATTATCTTGGACCTTAGTATTGGTGGTCAGTGTGACGTTTCTAGTTGGAAATTCATGTGAGTTGTGGAATTGTCGGAAACACAAGAGAAAGCTGACGAAATCTTATAATTTCAGTATGTGCTCCTCCATCTCTGTTGGAACAGGATCCCCGCATCATAAATGGCACGGAAGCCTCTTTGAGTAGAACAAAACATCAGGTTTCAATTAGACGGCGTTTGAATGATGGCTACTTCTTTGGTACCGGTCACATTTGTGGTGGTTCCCTGATCTCCGAGAATGTTGTTCTGTGTGCTGCTCATTGTTTTACAGAGTAAGTGCTAATATAGAAACGCAACATGTTTTGTGCCCCGGGGGAGAGAGGCAATTTTTTCTATGGAAAAAATGAACAGTCTCCCCTCAGGGGTGACAGTGAATTTTTTCTAGGGAAGAAATCATCAGTCCCCCTCGATTTTTTTCTGTGGAAAAATCAGCAGTCCTTCTCTAGGGGGACTGTAAAATTTTTCCGAAAAAAAAAATCAACAGCCCCCCTCAGTGGTGACAGTGAATTTTTTCTAGGGAAGAAATCAACATTGCCCCCTTAGGGAGGGGACAGTTTTTTTCTATGGATAAAATCAACAGCCCCATCAGGGGGACAGTGAATTTTTGCTGTGGAAGAAATCAACAGTCCTCGGGGGACAGGTTTTCTATAGACCATAGAATACCCCAACGAGTTCTATAGACAATAGAAGACCTACGAGGAATTCTATATACAATAGAAGACTTACGAGGACTTCTATAGACAATAGAAAACCTACGATGACTTCTACAGACCTACGAGGTCTTCTATAGACAACAGAAGACTTACGAGGACTTCTATAGACAATAGAAAACCTACGATGACTTCTATAGACAATATAAGACCTACGAGGACTTCTATAGACAATAGAAAACCTACGAGAATTTCTATAAACAATAGAAGGCCTACTAGGACTTCTATAGACAATAGATGACCTACGAGGACTTCTATAGACAATAGAAAACTTCAAGGTCTTTAAATCCAAGAGAAGACCTTAAGATATTCTATAGACCTCAAGGCCTTCTATAGACAATAGAAGACCTACGAGGACTTCTATAGACAATAGAAAACCTACGAGGACTTCTATAGGCAATAGAAAACTTCAAGGTCTTTATATCCAAGAGAAGACCTTAAGATAATCTATAGCCAAGAAAAGACCTCAAGGCCTTCTATAGATAAGAGAAGACCTCAAGGTCTTCTATAGTCAAAAGGAGACCTCAAGGCCTTCTATAGATAATAGGAGACCTCAAGGCCTTCTATAGATAATAGGAGAACTCAAGATCTTCTATGGACAATAGCAGACCTCAAGGTCTTTTATATACAATAAAAAACCTCCCTTTATGGAGGTCAAAAGTCCTCCTCGGGGGGACAGTGAATTTTTTCTATGGAAAAAAATCAACAGCCCCCCTTCAGGGGGGCAGTGAATTTTTTCTGCGGAAAAAATCAACAGCCCCCCTAGGGGGGGACATTGAATTTTTCTATTGAAAAAAATCAACAGTCCCCTCGGGGTGGCAGTGAATTTTTTCTATGAAAATAATCAACAGACCCCCATCCAGGGTGATACGAAATTTTTTTCTTTGGAAAAAAATCAGCTGTGAAATTTTTCTATAGCAAATAATCTCTTTTTTCTATACTTCCAGTCAGTTTGCCTACAATGGAAGCTATTTGCCGGATAGTGATTTCATTGTGGTGATGGGAAATTTGGATCGTTTTGAGAATAACAACAACACTCTGATTTTTGATATCAAAAAGGTTGAGAAGCACAGGGCCATATTCAACTTCTCAACATACGAAGATGATATTGTTTTAGTCATGTTGAACGGAAGTGTTCCAGCGAATCATCCAACGGTGAAACCCATTGTCCTCAATGATGAAGCAATACAAAATGGAACCATATGTCAAGTAACTGGCTGGGGTGAAACTGAAGATGTGAGTTTATGGCCCCTGATTTTTGGGAGAAATATATTCTGACTCCTTGTTGTTTTTTTAATTTTAGGGTTACTCATCGGATCTTTTGATGACCGTCGATGTGCCATATATTCCACCAGATGTATGCCGTACCGAAACAGCCTATATGCAATTGATTAAACCGGGTATGATGTGTGCCGGCTATTTGGAAGGTGAACGTGATGCTTGCCAGGGTGATTCTGGTGGCCCATTGGTTTGTAAGAATGTACAGGCTGGCATTACTTCATGGGGCAGTGGTTGCGCTCAACCTTTGAAGCCTGGTGTTTATACGGATGTTGCTTTCTATAAGGATTGGATTCTGCAAAAGGTTGCCGAAAATAATGGCACTTTGCCAAAATTCTCATCAAATGGTTCAATGTCTATTAACAGTGGCTCAATGTTGTTGGCGGCCATTTTGGTGGCTTTCAATTTGATAATGAAATGGTTTTAAATAAAGCAAATATTTACTCTAAAATATTAATTTTATAAAAATGTGTAATGTTGGCGGGGGTATTTGGATATTTGTCCTGTTGCCTATCGTAGTCGTGGAGGTCTTTAATTGTCTATAGCAAATGCCTATAAAGGACCTTGAGGTATTTTATTGCCTCTTATGTAGCTTGAGGTCCTCTCTGGTCTATATAAGAGCATGAGGTCTTTTCTTGTATATAGAAGAGTTTGAGGACTTCATTTGTCTATAGAAGACCTTAAGGTCTTCTCTTGTCCATAGAGGACCTTGAGGTCTTCTAGGGTCTAAAGAAGACCTTGAGGCGTTCTAGGGTCTATAGAAGACCTTCAGGCTTTCTAGGGTCTATAGAAGACATTGAGGTCTGTAGGGTCTATAGAAGTCGTTGGGGTCTTCTAGGGCCTATAGAAGACCTTGCGGTCTTCTAGTTTCTATAAAAGACCTTGAGGTCTTCTAGGGTCTATAGAAGACCTTGAAGTCTTCTAGGGTCTATAGAAGACCTTGAGGTCTTCTAGGGTGTATAGAAGACATTGAGATCTTCTAGGGTCTATGGAATACCTTGAGGTCTTCCAGAATCTATAGAAGACCTTAAGGGCTTTTAGTGTCTAGGACCTAGGACCTTCTATAGAAGACCTTAAGGTCTTCTAGGGTCTATAGAAGACCTTGAGATCTTCTAGGGTCTATGGAATACCTTGAGGTCTCCAGGATCTATAGAAGACCTTGAGCGTTCTAGTGTCTAGGACCTAGGACCTACTATAGAAGACCTTGAGGACTTCTAGTGGTTATATAGAAGACCTTGAGGTCTTCTAGTGGCTATATAGAAGACCTTGAGGTCTTCTAGTGGCTTTGTAGAAGACCTTGAGGTCTTCTAGTGCCTGTAAAAGGCCTTGAGGTCTTCTAGTGCCTGTAGAAGGCCTTGAGGTCTTCTAGTGCCTATAGAAGACCTTGAGGTCTTCTAGTGCCTGTAGAAGGCCTTGAGGTCTTCTAGTGCCTATAGAAGACCTTGAGGTCTTCTAGTGCCTGTAGGAGACCTTGAGGTCTTCTAGTGCCTGTAGGAGACCTTGAGGTCTTCTAGTGCCTATAGAAGACCTTGAGGTCTTCTAGTGCCTATAGAAGACCTTGAGGTCTTCTAGTGCCTATAGAAGACCTTGAGGTCTTCTAGTGCCTATAGAAGACCTTGAGGTCTTCTAGTGCCTATAGATGACCTTGAGGTGTTCTAGTGGCTATATAGAAGACCTTGAGGTCTTCTAGTGCCTATAGAAGACCTTGGGATCTTCTAGTGGCTATATAGAAGACCTTGAGGTCTTCTGGTGGCTATATAGAAGACCTTGAGGTCTTCTGGTGGCTATATAGAAGACATTGAGGTCTTCTAGTGCCTATAGAAGATCTTGAGGTCTTCTAGTGCCTATAAAAGACCTTGAGGCCTTCTTGTGCCTATAGAAGACCTTGAGGTCTTCTAGTGGCTTTATAGAAGACCTTGAGGTCTTCTAGTGGCTATATAGAAGACCTTGAGGTCTTCTAGTGGCTATATAGAAGACCTTGAGGTCTTCTAGTGGCTATAAAGAAGGCCTTGAGGTCTTCTAGTGGCTTTATAGAAGACCTTGAGGTCTTCTAGTGGCTATATAGAAGACCTTGAGGTCTTCTAGTGGCTATAAAGAAGGCCTTGAGGTCTTCTAGTGCCTGTAGGAGACCTTGAGGTCTTCTAGTGCCTGTAGAAGACCTTGAGGTCTTCTAGTTTCTATAGAAGACCTTGAGGTTTTCTAGTGTCTATAGAAGACCTTGAGGTCTTCTAGGGTCTGTAGAAGACCTTGAGGTCTTCTATTGTCTATAGAAGACTTTGAGGTCTTCTAGTGTCTATTGAAGACCTTGAGGTCTTCTAGCGCATATAGAAGACCTTGAGGTATTCTAGTGGCTGTAGAAGACCATGAGGTCTTCTAGTGCCTATAGAAAACCTTGAGGTCTTCTAATGCCCATAGAAGACCTTGACGTCTTCTAGTGTCCATAGAAGCCCTCGCGTTTTTATAGGGAATTTTGAGATCTTCTACCTTGAGGTCTTCTAGGGTCTGTAGAAGACCTTGTGATCTACTAGGATTTATAGGACCTTGAGGTCTCCTAAGGTCTTCTAGGGTATATAGAAGTCATTGTGGTCTTCTTGTGTTGGTAAAAGAGTTTGAAGTCTCTTATTTCACATTTCTGTTATGTGAATGAGACAGAATTAACGGATACAAGCAAGCGTGAGCTTTCCTTTAGTTTAAAATTTCAAATTAAGCTTTTAAATTAAAACTTTCTGCATTTTGAAAGCTCTGATATAACTCTTATAAAATTTTAAATTTCAAGCTTTTATCTCAGATCCCATTTAAAAGCTTATCATTGAACAAAACAATTTGAACTATTTTTGGTTTTTGTGACTCGGATTTTCCCAATTCTTATCAAAACCCATTCAATACGCATTGAAATTGAATATTGCCACTACTACGGATTTTATTTTGGTAGTTCACGTTCAAGTTTATTATGATTTTTGTTTTCCAGTTGGTGCTTATCAATGAAATTGCAAGCTATGAGTATGGCGTGTGCCAAAACAGAATACATGCTATTGCGTAGCAAAAATTTCAGCCTCAAACTGACTTTCGCACACATTAATCGATCAAATTTCAATTGGTTATTTTTTGCAAATTTAATTTATAGAGGGTAACGATGACAGTTTTATAAGGGAAATGACCTTGGGTAAATGCTCAAGTAATTTGGCATGACATATTGTCCCATAGAAGAGTTTCACTACAATTCACTCTTCTAAGGCAGAATTTTCGTTTCATTCCACAAATTTTATAGCCGCATAAGTTGAATGGATATATTTGTCTGATCCAACAACATCGGAGCTCCTAAAGATTTATGGATATATTTGATCCTTACAAACTAGACCTTAATGCCTACAAGTTTTTAATCGGTAAATTATGTTTTTCAGACAAACAAATTATTTTTTCTAAAGATTGCCAAAATCTGTTCTTTTTTTAATTGAACTGAAATATTGATACGCTTCTATTGTTTTGTATTTAAGACTTTGGTCTTAAAATATTGTTATTCAACGAAAAAATCAAGCGATAAGAAATATTTTATTGTGGGACAAAAATGAAATTTTGAAATTGTGGGTGTAGTAAGGCGCTAAAAATTCCTCACCTCTTTCAAATAAATGAGAACCCTACAAAAAATCGAACCAATATGACCCCTTTCCAACAAAAATAAAAAAACTGAAATTTCAAAACATCATGTCAAGTCTCCAACTCTTGGGCCCAATTGGGCTGATTTACACATACGGTGGACAGTAACGGTAAAATCGGATGAAGATGTATATCGAAGGTAAATAAAAATCTGAACAGATCTCGATAAAATTTTGCATAGGTATTTCTGATGCCCGGTATCAAATATCGCTGTTGTGGAGTGCAAAAAATGTCGGAAGTAGCATTAAGTTTTAGAATATGTTTAGATTTGTTCGAATTTGTCACTCTTGGCCAATGAAACCGTCACACGCTGCTCGAATGTTGCTCTGTGGTATTTTGGCCCATTCCCGGCGAAGAGCTTGCTTGAGGTGATCGTTACTTTGGTATTTTTTAGTACCAACCTTCCAAAATACTCCAGATACAATAGTCCAAAGGATTGGTATCCGGAGAAAATTTTGGTGGCCACTGTGCGCTGGAAATGAAGCGAGGAATCTCATTTTGTAACCATTCTTGGGTGCCGCGTGCTGAGTGCTATGGTGCTGAGTGCTATTAGAATGTCCAAGGTCTGCGGCCAAAATGGTTGCGTGCCCAAGGCTTTTATACACCCTACAGCATATTTTCGCAATAATATTCAGCATTTATTCCGATGCCACGGTCGATTAATACGAGCGTAGAGCAACCATCGGCTGCCACACCATCACTCTGGCCGGCGCTTGAGTTCTGGTGGCCAACCGAAGGTGCACATTTTCAGCTGACCTCTTTGACAAGTAAACACTATCATTTTATTTATTTACAAACCGCTGGACAGCGAATGTTTTCTCATCGGTGAAAGAGAAAACCAAATTCGGCAGTTCACCACTTTCGGCTAAGCGAAGAAACTATTTAGCTCTTTTGAGTCAATTTTCTTTCTGTGTGGGTGTAAGTTCTTGCACTTTCTGGAATTTCAATGGTTTTACCCCTAGCTCATTTTTCAATTTTTGCCGAATGTTTTTGCGATATGTTCAGCTCACGAGCCATTTTTCGGCCACTGCGGCGAGAGTTTCATCCAGTCACTTCTTTACTTTTCGAACCATTTCTGCTGATGTTTCTGCTTTCTCCCGTCCACTTCCTTGAAGTCGGGTAACGAGCGATGGTACGAGACACAAAAGTTTTATTCACATTTAAATGCTGGAGTGCTCTAACGATGGCCACTTGTGGTTTTCCAGCCAAATATAAAGAAATCACAAGAATCATATCAAGCTTGAATTCCATCACGAACAACTTTTTTTCTGGAAAATTCTCACCAAAATGCTTTTGTATGCTTGTAAATAATATAATGAGGTGTCACTGGAATAATTTTAAGAGCTGTCGGACGAGTGGCTTTGAAATGACAGCCGTTTGAAGTTGGTTGCAATTTTTTCATCTCACCCTGTATCTGTATATGATATATGGGAGTTATCGCTACATCTGAACCGATTTTTACCAAATGTGAAGTACTTAATTCTAGGATGACTTCAGTCGGAAGTGCCGGAATTCGGTTCATTTGGGCTGATATTAGCCATTTCGTGCACAATTAACCCGAAATAGGTTGAAGATATATATGGGAGCCATATCCAAATCTGGACCGATCTTGATCAAATTTGGCAGAGGTATTTCTGGGGTGTGTCTTTCATTTGGTACCAAAGATCATTGTTGTGGAGATCATATTACACCTGTGAGGGACTTAAAAGACCAAATCGGATTAAACATATATATGGGTGCTATAGTTATATCTGAACCTATTTTCACCAAATTTGATCTATTTGCTTCTAGATTGAA